AACGTAAAATTTCCGGCTCGTTTCATTACGGGAATCAAAAGTAGGGGTTTACATTTAAAATTTTCAAGTTGACCTTCAAGTTCATAATCAAGGTCGAATCCAAGGTCACCGACAGATAGTGTCGTAGATCGTACTCAGCTGATCAGAATGGAAACATGATGTAGAATGTTACAAAATAAGATCATGCCCTTTCGAATACAAATAAGACACCAAAAATGACGTCAAGTAGTTTGACTCCACACGTCCTATCAGTTCATAGAGGTACAAGTTAGGCTCTTTAGAAAACAGTTAGCTACAAATATGTATCTCTCTCTAAGTGAAAGTGGCAGCATAGGTCAAATTATAGCATGATACCCTGTACAGTGACGTGTTCCATCAAGTGCGCTTTGTGCCCAACAACTTGTAGAAAACTTTAACTCACTGTCAAGTAATCCTCCTACTAACGGCAAAATAAGGTTTGACCTCGACGCCAGACTTGATTTTAGATGGCGGAATTCTTTCTTATAGCATGTGGGCTTAATGATACCGCCGTGTATAGCAGATAGCAGGTCCTTTTTTCGAAGCTTAATGTACGGAAGGACGTCACGTAAAAGTCCAATTTCAACCGGTCGTTCTGAAGAGAGTACACGTGAAACGACGACCTAAACTATATATCTCTGTAATCCTGTTGGAAAAATTAGAGGCGGAGGTATCTTCTTGTGTTCCAAACGAAACTAGACGCAGGGATACTTCCTTCTCTGCGGTAGAAATGGCGAAAAGGAAAGTTTTATTGGCGATTTCATCTGGGATCATGTTATCTGCCATCTTCTAGGTTTGTTTTTTACTAAAACTCTGAGATGGAGATAACTGACTTCTGCTAGACAGTCTAGCCCGATAATAAAACCTTGGACATCATATTGTCGTTCATCATACTATTTTTTGTGGAGACTACAGTGCCGTATGAGCATGATTCTTCATTTATTTTTCATACTGAAGTAGTACCGGAGGCAGGGTCTGATTGAGGCATCACAACGAAATAAAGAGGTTAAATATATCTCTTTGAGATAAATTTCTCAGGTCGATTTTTGCACAATTTTGTCACTCTAGCAATAGCCGACCAAGTCTGGATATCAGAGATCGACAGAGGTAGAATGAGTAGCAGAATTATATCCTCTACCTAGAGAGTTAAGAACATCTATCTAAGGTCCAGTAGTATTGATTTGCATTGAGTTGTTGCTTCTTCAGTGATAAGCCCTCCAGATCTTTCGTCAGCGAGTTTATTAGTATTAGTTTATCGCTACCAGTTTTCTTCTCTCCAAATCTACCACAAAGATCGTTCTGGCTCTACGCTCATGAGTCTTTAGAGATGTACAGCCAGCAATTCTTCATTTTGTATTATACCTATTCTGCGAGTCATATACACATATTTCCACAAACTTTCATTATTTGCTATCTATTCAGATTCATGGTTATCGGATAATAATTTCCAAACTTGCAACTTCTATGTATCGTAATAACTTGGAAGTATAGTTCATGAGTTATAAAATAATTTACGACCATCAAAAGATGCTAATACTATAAAACTAACATTAGAAAGAGACAATAAGGAAGATAGTGGATACCTTTTAGTGCATGTAACATTTGAAATTTATAGTGTCGTTTTCAAGGTGATAAGACTGCACCTTTATGTGGTCAAATTAAAACAGATATAACGTTTTGGCTACCACATTCACGTTTTTTTAAATTCTAATATAGAGAGGGTGGCCGCAAAGTTGGGGTTGTCCTTTTCAGAAACAACTACCCTTGAAATAACAAAGGTAATGTGTAGTGGAACGAGGGCGACCAAGTAAAAGAAAATAAAGGAAAAAGTACTCACTCTCCAGTTGACGAGAAGGGCTAAGTACGTCTCTGCCCGAAATCATACCGCTCCAACAGAAAATGAAATCAGCTGATGCGCTACCGAGCAGACGCAGGCGGTGGTGCAGACTACGAACAGAGGTAACAAATATGACGGCGTTGCCGCGGTTTTAGTTTTTAGGTAAACGTACTTTAGAAGTATTATTCGAAGTTATCGCCGTTTGATTCAAAAACACAAGTGCGTGCACGACGTAGCCAAGCATCGGTGCAGGCTTTGAGAATGGAGTCCCTCCCCCGAACGAAAGCACCAGCTTGTTCAATTCTGAGACGAAGTTCGTCAACCGTATGCACTTCAGTTTTGTACACTAAGCGTTTCATTTCTCCCCAAAGAAAAAAATCACATGGTGTTAAGTCTGGAGATCGCGGAGGCCACACTACGAGTCCATTACGTCCGATCCACCTATTCGGAAATAATTCATTCAAAAACTCACGAACTTCGCGTCTAAAATGGGGCGGTGCACCATCGTGCAGAAACCACATTGATTGTCTTACACTTAATGGCACATCTTCTAACAAGGAAGGCAAAATGTTGCGTAAAAAGTCTAGGTATTGCATCCCGTCCAATCGATTTGGGAGAATAAATGGTCCAATGAGCATACCGTTCACCATGCCAGCCCAAACATCCACCGAAAATGTTTGTTGAAAATGTGCCCGACGGACAGCGTGCGGATTTTCTACTGACCAAACATGAGTGTTGCGAAAGTTATTCACCCCATTACGCGTGAACGTAGATTCGTCTGTCACTGTCACTGTCACTCACAAAACCGCACTCTTGCTGGAAAATCGTCAGGTTGAAGGGCTTGGGCACGTTGGACGTGAAACGGATACAGCTCCTCTTTACGCAGCATTTGCCACACTTTACTTTTTGATACTTGCACTACTCTAGCCACGTCTCTAGTGCTTGTTGAGGGATTCTCGTCTACGCGATTCAGTAGTTCTTCCTCAACTTGCACCATTCGTGGTTGTCTAGGCCTCCCACTGTGCCCACCTCGAAATTCCTCCAAATGGCCCGTATCCCTGACTCTCTGGACCAGGTACACAAATCTGCGGGGCCTTGGATGGTGTCGTCTAGGGAAATGATCTGCATACACTCGCGAAGCCTCTGTAGCATTTTGAAGACATTCGCCATAAATTAACAACATATCAACGAGTTCATTGTTGTTCATTATTATTTTTTTTTGAAACGCAATCGATTATACGGGTTCGTTTACCTCTACACGCGTGACCGTAACCGTCGGTTGAAGGTAGCATACTGACCTGACACACTGACCCCGACTCAGTTCTGACGTCGGGTTGAGCTTGTACCACTCGGTGATGTCGCGGGTCGCGGCTACAGGACGGTATTCAGATATTTTTGATGTTGCAGAGCCCTTTATCTCGGTTCCCTTAAGACATTGGTGCATATGGTACTAAGAAAAATTGCTTATGTTTTCAAGATCTACACGTCGTGTAAAGGAAAACCCCAACTTTGTGGACACCCTGTATTTATGCTTTTCTGTCTTTCAGGAGACAGTTTATTTGTTTTTAATTCCTACGCCTACTAGCGAGTAAATATTTTAAAGGCAACAAATTTCGAAAATAAGATATTACGTTTTCTAATGTTATATGACATTTACATCACGAAAAAACATGTCACCGATTTCGTCGGTCTGTCCACTAATTTTATAACTGCCTATACTGAGACCGCTCAGATTTTGATGAAATTTTCACACAAAGTTACTACTATGCTAAGTATGGAAAAATGTTTTAGCTTTAGAAAATCGATCTAATGTGGTGGTGGACCAAGGGACAAAAACACGAGAGAAATAAAAATCGCTCAAACTTGATTTTTTTGGCGTTTCAGAAACTCCTGTCTTTTTCAGAAAACTTTTTAGATGGTCTAAACATTGGACGTTGGGGTGAGGATGTTATTATATTTATACGTTCCAAACTCGACAGTCCTGCGCATCTATTTCACACGATATAGAATTTCCCGCATATTTGCCTTTTAGAGTAATGTTTTCGATACGAGTTTATGCTTCTGATCCCTAAGTTCACCGTAAGACGTGCCTAATACTGCCGTTGTGCGGCGCTGAATGCGGGAGGAGCGACGTTGCCAGACGGATGGTGTTCCCGGTAGGTTCGTAACAAACTTTTTTCTTAGAGAGTCCAACTTGTTCTGAGCATGATTCTTTGAGAACTGATGACGGCGTTGAGAGGGAAGCACAGAGTCAACCTACTTGACGCCATATTTCTGCTACAGTACAGTGTGCAGCCTGAATAGTTCTGTACCATGTCGGCACCATACCTTAAAAGCAGTGTTACTAAGTTTCAGTGACGGGTAGACCATTATTTACAATATCATCAGATTCGACAATATCTACTTGTCATAGTGATGACCTGGCTA